AACAGCCGGCTGTTTCAGACTATTTCCGACTGTTTGTTAAGTTATACCAGTTTGGCGTAGGAGAATACCGTTCTAAAAACGAAATTAAGCATGCGTAATTTAAACGTAAGTTATACATCCGTTTAATTTTTTTTTTGATAGGTTTTGTTAAAAAAAATCTATGTCGACATAAAATTTCTCTTTTTAACGTATACTAATTTACTTAAAACGAAATTAAACATGATTAAATGTACTTACCGAATTGAAGTAATTGATGTGAAAAAAATTTTCAGCTTCAACGTTCCAAAGTTCTTCTAGATTTTGAGGTTCAAGCAGATGAAAAGATGAGAGTTTTTTCTGTGTTGGAAGCTCGTTTTGAAGTTTTTATAAGTGGGGAAATGTTTGGTTTTCAATTATTAAGTAAAAGGGTAGTATAGTCCTTTCAACAATATATGGTTTTGTAATTGTACAAAACATTTAAGGGTATCTTTGTCTTTTACCATATAAGAGGCAAATGTCATAATATTCATTATTTTGGAAGTCAAACTGAAATTTTGCTCCTTTGACCGGGTCAAAATTAAAAGTACCCCATAAAATGATTAAACCCCTCTTTGAAAAAGTTGATAAAAATATAAATTAAAATCAACAATTAATTTTAATCATATATTTCATAAAATTAGGAAGTTTTATCAATTTTTCAATCATATCTTTTTATTTACTTTTATCAAAATCTACCAAAAATCTGATTTTTTACAAAATAAAATAGGTATAAAACGTTTGCCTAATCCACCTCGCAATTCATTCTTCAAACAATTTCTTAGAAATTTTACTTGAGAATATTCATAACCCAAAATTGTTACAAACTTACATCTGTTTAATGGAGATTAAAATCAAAGTTTTAGTAAATTTTGATAAAAGTTGTAAAAATATATGGTTGAAAAGTTGTGGTTTCCATGAAATTTATGATTAAAATTATTTGTTAACTTTGATTTAGATTAAAATTTCAATTTTAATTTGTATTAAACTTTGTTTTTGGTTACTTCATTTGCTCACACCTCGCGACAATTGAGATGATATTAAAGGGGGAAAATGAATTATGTGTGTCTAGAGCCCAAGGTATTAGGTGATTTAGACAATAACTTAGACTTCGAATTTTAAAATTACTTTTGCATTTTTTGGTATGAAATGTTTTTGTTAAGATGTCAATACTAGACAAGTTGATACATTTCAAGTTTCAACAAATCTAGATTTATGTTAGCCGAGCACTTTTAATCCATTTATCATATTAACGCAACACGAAATAAGATATTCAAGCAAAAACCTTAAGAACAAAAAATTTGAAATCCACCAAATTATGAAGAAGGATAAACTTACGAAATTTATTAATGAATGATAAAAAAAAAATGAAATAACTCCCTTATTAATAAAGGTTTATATGGAAACGTAGTTTAAAAAAACTAAAATTAATGAAAACAAAATTTAAAAAAACTAAAATTGAAAGAAACTCAAAATAAACGAAATGACAAAAATAGTGTCAAAACTTTAAAAATCAGTTTTCGAGTCCTAAACGAACTTGAATGGCTGAAATTCATCGTACATCATAGCATAGCTGTGAATATTGTTCATCTCGTCATCTTCTTTTCAGAATGGTCTTATGGGTCCAATCTGAAGTTAGGAAATTTTCCCCCTACTAGTACATTTTCCCCAACATGTCCTACACCAGTCTCTTCCACCTCTGAAGAACTCGACCCCAAGTTATAATTTGGATATAAAGGCTTATCATCTTTATGAAACTCATACAAATCTGCCACATTGAACGTTCGAGAAATGCTCATAGAAACTGGTAAATCAATAATGTGGGCATTGTTGTTAATCGGCTTAAACACTTTGAAAGGCCCATTCTTTCTTGGTTTCAGCTTGTTGCAAGTACCAACAGGAAATCTCTCCTTTCTCAAAAACATCATCACTGGGACCCCTTTTTGAAATTGTTTATCCTATCGATGTGAATCTGTTGCTGCCTTATACTTCGCATTAGTTTTCTCCAACTTCTGTTTTACTTCATCACAGATTGCTAACACCTTTTTTGTCAGATGTTCAGCAGCGACACCCCTATTATCACCTTTAGGCAATTTCACTAGATCCACCGCACGGTAAGGAACCTTTGTATACACAATAGCAAACGAGACCGACCCTAACGGTATGAACTACGCTGTTATATGCAAAATCCACTTGAAGTAGTGCAAGATCCCACTGTTTAGGTTTATCTCCACAAACACTTCGAACCGTATTTCCAAGGGTACGGTTAGTAATCTCAATTTGTCTATCAGTTTAGGGATGTGCAGTGCTGCTTTGATTCAAATTGGTTCCAAACAACTTTCACAAAGTAATCCGAAAGTCCCCCAAATATTTTGTATCCCGGTCTGATGTGATAGACTAGGGAACTCCATGCAATCTAACAATCTCCCTAAAAAACAGTTTGGCAATATTCGAATGGAAAATTTAATTAAGGTCAGGGAATAATAAATCTTTACCCCAAAGGTCAGGCTACGCTTCATACAGAACTCCATCCAGGTTCCTTCCAAACTCCAGTTTCTATAATGGAAGCTCTGATTTTCAGTACATCTTCCCACTGGCCTGCATCAGCACAGATATTTGACAATGAAACATGAGATCCAGCATCAGAAGGCCCTAATTCCATGATCTTTTCAGCAGAGAGCTTCCCAAGCTCAATATCGCCATGAACTCTACAAGCAGCAAGTAGTGTTCCCCACACTAAAGCATCAGGTTCTATAGGCATGTTAGAAATAAACCTCTCAGCCTCTTCTAGTTTTCCTGCACGACCAAGAACATCCACCATACAGGCATAATGCCGGTAACCAGGCTCAATTCCGTACTCTCTAGACATTGAATTTAGATGGAAATACCCTTCTTCAACTAAACCTGCATGACTGCAAGCAGATAAAACACCAACGAAAGTCACCGAGTCTGGCATTATTTCTGACTTTCTCATAAGGTCATATACGTGTAAAGCTTCTGACCCTTTCCCATGTTCAGCGTAGCTTGTGATCATCGTTGTCCAGCAAACTAAATCAGGATTTTTTATCTGTTGGAACACTTTACTGCAATCTTCGAAGTTTCCACATTTTGAATACATCGTAACAAGTGAACTTCCTACTGAAGCTTCTGACTCTATTCCCATTTTTATAATATGTGCATTCAACTGAGTACCAGTGTCTGGCATATTTAAGAGGGAAACAGCCCCAAGTATAGATGAAATTGTGAAGGCGTCAATATTCAAATCAGATAGAAGAATTTCATGGAAAAGCTGCAGAGCCTCCTCAATATATCCACTTTGGGAATACCCTGAAACTAATGAGGAACAAGAAACCTGGTCTTTAAAAGGCATCAATTTAAAAACTATCTTTGCTGAATTGAGATCACCACATTTTGAGTACATATTCACAAGTGCTCCATCAATGATCATCTGCTCACCAAAGCCATATCGAAGAGCGAAACCATGAATTACTTTGCCTATCTTCAAGGAACGAAGAGCAGAGCACGCACTTAGAACAGCAGATAAACTCATTTCATCAGGAATGAATTCTTCTAACAATCTCTCTCTGAACAGCATAATCGCCTTATCCGCTAATCCATGTTCTGCGAAGCCAGCAATCATAGAGGCCCATGAAAGATTATCTTTACCTTCGAGTTTATCAAAAAATTTGTAAGAGTCCTCTAAGTTACCACATTTTGAGTACATCGTGAAAAGAGAACTACCCACAGAAACATCAGAGGCCATGTCAGCTTTAAGAGTATAGCCATGAATCTGTCTTCCTAAAGTTAGACAGTCCACGATGCTCAAGATACTGGAAGTACTGAATTTATCAGGTACCATACCCTCTTTCAACATTATCTGAAACAGGTTAATTGCTTTTTCAGAACGTCCGTTCTGAGCAAATGCAGATATCATATTAGTCCAAACTCCTAGTTGCTTCGACCTTTGAGTCTCTGCAAACACCATCTCAGATAAATTAACCACTCCAATTTTCGAGTACATATTTATCAAAGATGCTTTCACTGCTGAATCTGAATAGAGTCCGATCTTTAAAATCAAACAATGGATCTGCATTGCCTCTGTAAACATAGACAGATTAGCACAAGCTGCAAGCACACTTGTGATGGTGAAGTTGTTAATATCTTCTCCTGTTTTTCTCATTTTGTCAAGAACCCAAACAGCAGAAATTGAATCACCTTGCTGAACAAAACCAGAGATTATGGCAGTCCAAGAAACAACATTGCGAACAGGCATTTGCTTAAATTGCTTAACAGCCTCATCCATGGCTCCACATTTGGCATACAAATCAACAATAGTAGTGCCCACAAAGACATCTTCTCCTACACCACATTTGGTTACCCATCCTTGAACACCTTTTCCCAACTCAAGCTCTTCAAGTGCAGCACAGGCAGTCAAAACACTTGAAAACGTAAAACCATTTGGCATCAAGAACCCAAGACGACACATTTGGACAAAAATATCCAAAGCAAGCCAATTTTCGTTATTCTTAACTGCCCCAGACACAACAGCATTCCAACAAACCACATTATTATCACACGAAACATCATAAAACACCCTCAAAGCATCCTTGAACCTGCAACTCCTTGAGAATAAATCTATCATTCCAGCACGAATATAACCATTTAAAAAGAACCCATTTTTCACCACAAACCCATAAACCTGCTCCCCACACACCACACTACCCAAAGCACAACAAGCAGAAAGAATACCCCCGTAAGTAAACTGATTCATACCAATACCCCAAAGATGCATTTGGCAAAATACCCACCACGAGTCTCCAAAAAGAAAATTTTCATTACATCCTGAAATCATCAAATTCCACGTAACGATATTTGTTTGGGGAATTTTTTCAAACAACTGAAACGCACAATCCACCTTACCACATTTGAAGTAAGAATCGAGCAAATTGTTGGTGGTAAAGATATCGGAGTAAAATACACATGTTTTGAGTAAAAGGGCATGCGTGATTTTGGTTTCTATGAGTGTTAAGTTTCTTGATTTGGACTGATTGTTGAGGAAATTTACTGGGTTGAGTTTAATGTCATTTTCGGCATGCGGCTCAGTTTTGAATGGCAGATTTTCAAGTAATGCAACCGAAGATTTAAAATTACAGCGTGAAAACAAGATGTTTTTGGATTTAAAGGAATGATTTTTGATAAAATTCATTTCAGTTCATGAGAGACGGCGACAAAGAAAAGTAGCCAAATTTTGAAAAGTGCGGGAATCTACTAATAGCAACTGCTATGATTGATAGCAGGAACAATTGGCCATTTCGAATAGAGAAAAAAAGGTATAAAATCAAGGGCTTTCATTTAAAAAGCCTAATCCAACAAAATATTAGTTTAAAAAGTTCACAAACTAAGGCTGCGATTGGTTTTCATTTTCATTTTCAATTTTTATTTTCAAAACGATTTTTTAATTTTTCTCGAAAACAGCCTGTTTTTCGCATTTTGAGCGTTTTCGACATTTATAACTGAAAACACTAAAAACGATAAAAAGTCGTTTTGCGTTTTCAGTTATAAATTTTAACTCTTTTTCAAAAATGCGTTTTCTAAAACGACAGACCAAACACGTTTTTCGCATTTTCAAAAACAGAAAATGGAAAATGGCCCAAAAACAACAAACCAACCGCGACCTAAGTTTTTTGGGTAGAAGGCGTAAAGATATGAAAAATGGAAAATATAATTTGTAAATGACAAAAATGGCCTTACATACAAAAAGACATTGCTGTCTTAATTCTCATTTGACCCCAATTAAATTCTATCTTCCTTCCATTTGCTCTTCAAAAATCGGCTGTAGAGATATGCAATTCATTTCTTTGTCATCGTTTTTCTCTACTTAATGAAACCATAAACTCTACATTCCCCTTTTCTTGAACACTCATTTGGTTGAAGTGAGTAATAAAATCTTGCAATATTATTATTAGGCATTTGGAGAAGAAGATGGTGTTGTAATTTTCAATTTTTGGGTTAGCTTCTTTGTCTAGTGTTTTGAATAATTGCTTCATATTGTTGTATATATGTTTATGATTTTTATTTGTGAACAATGATTTTAAATTAATTTTATCATTAGATTAGAGTTTTGATATGGATTACCTCCCAACCCATTTCTCATTACCCATCATTGATATCGGTTAGAGTAAAATGTAAGTGGGCAAATACATGTTTAGCTATTCTTTTTATTAGTCTACTGTAAAACATACATTTGATTTTCGTCTGTACATAACGACTTACATATCGTTATCAGTATTGTACAATGTTTGAAATTTGATGAAATTTTTATAGTGAATTACAATTATGGACACCGCTAGTATGGTATGGATATCAGTTTGTTTTCCAATTGAATATGAGCAGTCGGTTGAAGGTGTATGGAAATGAAAATATGCGGGGAATGGAAAAGGAAAAACAACCACTATTCTTATTGCGAAAACTATTTCTTATGTAGAATTATATGATAAAGTCAAAGAGGTGTTGAACGTCAATACAATGTTGTATAAAATGGAGATTTTAGCTCTTGCTCCTATAATGTCTAAAGCTTCAGCTGCTCCGACCATAATTGATTGTGACAACAATGTGAAGTGGTTTCTATCTGTCTGTAAAGAAATTTTTCTTAGTGTAACTCTTTCGAATGAAGTTGAAAATCAAGAAGATTTCGGTGGTGAATGATGTTTATTACTAATAGAGGGTAGATGACAAATTACAAATATGAAGAACGAGGATGAACATGATTGAACGGACGACGATGCTAACCATTACAATGGTGATGGAATATTTGTCGATTGTAATGATTTTGATGTAAGTGGAGATAGTCCTAGAAGAGTGGATGGCAACAATAATTTTACTATAGCAGATGACAATGATATAGAGTTACCCATGGATGAATCTTAAATCAAGTATCTCCAGACATTTATCATGTTGGTGACATTTTAGAACACCACTTTGTGGACTTAGATGAAAAGACCCGTAATCTCGACTAGTTTCCATGTGTGCATGCAATTGCTATCGTGAGGTTTAAAAGAGATGACGGTTATAACTTATGTAGTCACTTTTATACTAATATTTGTTGGAAGCAAGCGTATTCTATATTCGTATATCATTTGCCAAATGAGGTCGAACGGCTAATTCCCCTTCATGTGATGGCTAGAGAAGTATTTTCACCATTGGCAAGAAGATAGGGTGGACAACCATCAAAAAAGAGGAAACGATCAGCCGGAAAGCCTCGTATGCCTCGTAAATGCAGTAGGTGCAAGAAATTGGTCATGTTCGATTCACTTGCACAAGTTTATCAGCTAGTATTGAAATTTAAGGTTGTAAAATTGTCCTGATTTGTAACTTTGTAATTTTGTACTTATTGAAACACAAGATGATTTATTAAATTTTGTAATCATTGTGATATTGAAATATTTTTGTATTATTGAAATGACATTAAAGTCATTTTATGTTTTCGTGCTTTTTTTTTTTTTACATTAAATACAAACGACGTTCATATAGTTACAGTTAATGTAAATGCATTCAATTTAATGACGATATACATTTTCTTCATTCCGAAATAAAATATTTAAGATTGTTGAGGTACAAAAATGTATTGATTCTAATTACGCTATTGAAGTCGTCCTGAAGCACAAAACGATATATACGATATTGAAACCGTTCCTATAATAAAAAACGATTAATATATCGTTTCAGTATGAAATACACACTGTTTAACTTATTTTGGTAACGACATAAAATTCGTTATGGCTATACATAAACGACATATAAGTCGTTCTAGTACAAAAATGCACTCATTTTAAGAATGACATTGAAGTCGTTCGTAAAGTTCAAAACGATATAGATGTCCTTTCAATAAAAAAATGCACTGAACAACGTGACGATATTAAAATTATTCCTATAGCAAAAAAGATTTATGCATCATTCCAGTATAAAATGCACAGTGCTTAATTTATTTTGGTAACGACATATAAGTCGTTATGACTATACGTAACGACATAGACATCATACTTCAAATCGGACGCACGCCAACTTTGCAGGCTTAGGTACAAGCCTAGATGACTTTTACGTTATCTTCAATTGAGTTGTCCAAGTCATTGCATCCTAGGTCCTCTTCAAGCATTTGTTTACACCGATTTCTAAAAATTCACAAGTTAGAGACTAAAGATAATATGAAAATCGAAACTAAACCTTTACCTTCTTTTTTCACAACAATGACATAAGATGCTTTTAGTTTTGCATTATTTTGAAATTGTAATATGATGGAAATGATTTGCAAACGAATAATGTTATTCATCATTTTCATAAATCATAATCGATTCAATAAGTAATGAAGTAAAATATGTATTCTATTAGACCATGAATTCAAGGGTTCACTATCATCTACACTGGCGATAATCTATTTATTATTCTTCGTTCGCTCTTTCTAAGTCATTCAAGTGGTATCAACCCACTTAATGACCTATTTCGATCGTCCTACGTATGTTAGAAGCATGATGGGTGGTAGTGAACGGTCGAATCATTATTTTTAGCTAGAACGATATAGTTATCATTTTATATGAAAAAAACGATATCTAGGTCATTATACTTGTGATTTGAATTGGAACGATTTCAAATTCATCAAATTTGTACTAAAACGATATGAATGTCTTTACTTCATTAGTGATTTTGATACATAACGATATCATTATCGTTCTATACAAGTTTGCCGACGTTAATATCGTTTTAGCTTAAATCATATTGAAACTACATACATATCATTTCAGTTAAAATAAAACGACAATTTTATCGTTTCTGCTAAAAATAACAATTCGATCGTCCACGACCACCAGACATGTATCTGATATATGTAGGATGATCAAAATAGGTAATCAAGTGGGTTCGATCTCTCTTGAAAGAAACTATAAGAACATTTTTGTTCTTATGATTGTATACCACCTTCGAACTATTCTGATAGAAAATATCATTGTTCGCTTTTTTTGAGTGGTATTAATCCACTTAATAACCTTTTTCGATCATCCTCCGTATGCTGAAGGTATAACAAGTGGTCGTGAATGGTTGAATTTTTATATTTAGCCAAAACGATATAAATATCGTTTTATAGAAAAATAAACGATATCTATTTTGTTATCATTGTGATTTGAATTGGAATGATTTCATACTCTTTAAATTTGTACTATAACAATTTGGATGTTGTTGTCTTATTTTGTGGGTTTATATATAATGATACTATTATCGTTTCAGTACAATTTTGATAACATTAATATCACTTTAGTTTAAATCTTAACTAAGACGATATAAATATATATCGTTTTACTTTATATAAAACGATAATTATAAAAACACCTGACATATATTTGTCGTACGTAGGATGATAAAACAAGTCATTAAATGAGTTCGATCTTATTCAATAGAAAGAAAGATAGTATCTATATTTGCTCGTTTTGAACCATTCGAGTGCTATCAGTCTACTTGATGCCTTCTTTCGGTCATCATGTGTCGTTATAATTATCATTTTAACTGTAACGATTTCAAACTCGTTAAATTTGAAAAGAAACGATACATATGTCGTTCTAGTTATTATTTTGTGCCTCAAAAAAAATTTCAAAATCGTTATTAGAATTAGAGCATTTTATACTAGAACGACATCAACTACTTTATGTGTCACCGGAACGAAGTGTATATCATTACATGAATAGGCATAATATTCAAATTCTGGACATGTACAATACGTAAACTTGAAAATTATAAAAAGTCATGAAAATATATAAATTTCAATTACATTTAATATCATAGTTATAACGTTCAAGTATAACTACTCCTGAAACGGTATATATGACATTATAGTTACGATTTGAACGGGAACAATATCATTGTCGTCGAAAATTGTATTGAAATGACATAAATGTTGTTTACTTATTCCATGGCATGCATCTAAGCCTATTAAACAGTGAATCAATGTGTGTTCGAATCAAAACGACATATACATCATTTTTTGTATTGCAGGAACGAGTTCAATATCGTTATACAAATCAGTTAAGCAGAGTGTATTTGATGTTGAAACAATATCGAAGTCATTTTATGTCTCTAGAACAATTTCAATGTAGTTATGCAAATCGGTGAAACAGTGTCGGCCGTTCATTTCCATTCCACATTTTTATTACGTTGATAAGTTATATTTTACAATTTTTTTCAAACTGCAATATCTTGGTGCTGGCTTATCCGAATTGGCTTTTTTTCGAGTCGAATAGTTCTTATTAATTACAAGCTTTAAAATGAATCAAATATCGATATACTATATTGTTCTTATCAAAATCTAATTATTGGACTCTAAATAAGATATGAATTTAAAAAATATTTTTTTGTCCATTTTTTTTTTCAAAATATAACGATAAAATTTATTTTAAAAAAATTTCGTGTGTTATAATAGGTGTCTAATGAATAAATGACTTAGTAATTATTTTCGACTAGTTGCTAAGTTGTGAAAAATGTTAAAACTTTGGGTGAACCAGAGATTAACTATGGAGAAGAAATGGGTTTAAAATTAAAAAGAAGTGTTGAAATTCTAAGGAAAAGATAATTTTGAAGAGGGAGATTTTTTGAATTTGAAGAGAAGGTGTGTGTTAGAATATGAATGCATAGTTATTAAAACCAACCAGATGATCGACTCAGAAAAAACCACCAAGTCACCGGGTCAATGGTTCAACCAGTGGGTTATTGTTAAATTTTATTTTTGAAATGAAAAGGAAATAATTTTTTGAAATGTAATACAAATATACTTTGCACATCAAAATCAAAAAATATTTTCTTGCCATCCAAGGTTCAATTCACGGTTCTAGCAAATTTAGAAAAAAATTTCAATCTCTTCTTCATTTTTGTTTAACAAGTCTTTTAACATTTTTAAATAATTAAAACTCCTTTCATTTTTATAATTTTAGTCAAGAGCCAGTTGAACAAAATGTGTTTTAGTGGTGGCCATCCCAACTCATTTTCCTTAAAATCAATTGATGGTGCATATATCAATACACGCACAATTAGTGGTTTATTTAATGGTAGTATCTCGTCCAGAATTTGGTGATTAAATTCTCCTGCTGTGACCACTAATATAATTATAGGTTAAATTCAATTCTTTTTGTTTTACGCCAAGCATGAAAATCTAAGGGGCCGTTTGAGCCCCATTATTTGTAGATTATAATGAGATAAATAGTATTTTTTTTAAAAATGAGTGGTTGAAAAGTTTTTTTATTTACGTGTGATATTATTTTATTGAAGATTATGTAGTTAAAAGTAAGAGAAAGAAAAATTTAATTTAATGTAATAAGAAATAATGAGGTTCAAACGAGGGCTAAGTCAAACAAGTACGATTCATAATCAAGTATGTCACTAGCTAACTTATTTATATAGACTAGCAATCTACCAAACTTCCAATTTGAAATCTCATTTATCGGATTTTAATGTGGAAGACACATTTTTGCAGAATTCCTCGTGACAAGATCTTTCTCATGTTATTCTTTATTTATTAATTTTCTTTTATAACTAAGCAAATTAAAACATTAAAAAAAAAAAAATCTTAAACTATTGGATCTAGTAGTATGCTCGGCTCAGCCTGGAATGAGTCTATCTACAATTGCAATTCAGCTTACTTTAGGCATTTACATCCAATAATGAACACAAACCAACCTGAGATGGAACAACAATATATTTTGTACGTTGAAGTTCTTTATTTTAGAAAAATGTGATAAACTATCACTTTTTATTATATAATAATTTTGATTGAGATTAGACGATAATATATTTTGTACGTTATATCAAATTTATAATGTGATGGTCAAAAGATGGATTATGTACCAAAACCAAAATAATAGCTTAATATTATCATTACATCAGCTTAGTAAATGAATTACCCAATTAAGATATAAATTAATTTTTTTTAAAAAAATTATCCTTGAATGATCTAGATTTAAAAATTTGGCCTAAAATTTTCCAAAAATTTGAAAGGACGATGATCGATATAATTAATATATATCCAAACTTTTAATTATGTAGCAAAACTCATCATTCCTTCCATTTTGATCTTTAAAATTGTGGAGTTGTCCTCCTATTTAAATAACAAAATAAATAAATAAATAAGTAAGTAAGTAAATTAGAAGAGAGAGAAATTACAAGGGAAATCACATAACTTTTCAAAAATACAATTAAATTTCAGTTAAAAGAATTAAATACATATTAGACAAAAAAAAAAATAGAAAAAGTGAATATTTCATCTTAAATCCCAATCACCCACAAACTCAACCCAACCACACACTCACACAAGATCAAAGACCATATGCACAAATGCAAAAACTCCAGCGACATCAGTATCACCAATACCGTAGAAAATTTATTTCAGAAAAAACAAAAAATAAAAATAAAAATATATTTGTTTTCCCAACAGGTCCTACCACCCAACGCAGCAGAATCACCATTGAAGATGGGCACCTCACTAGCCCTGCACTATCCATTTGTAAGAGCCATTTCATAACCTAAATAGTGATTTATTTTCAAGAACCCTAAACCTTTTCTATGATTTTATTATTGCAAAAGGATGGTGGAGGATTGGTGAAATATCCACCGTCTGTGGAGGTTCTGTTACGTTGCTCCATGAACAGATCCAGAATTGGATTAGAAAATTTCAGGTCGGACTACATGCGAAAAAAAAAATTACACGTAAAAAAAAAAAAAAAAAAAAAATACCTTTTAAGAAAAATTTTGGGCCCTTGAGAGGGGCGTGGGGGAGTGGGACCCCCCTCCATCCATCTCTGCGATGAGCGGTGGATTGTGTTATGGGAAAATACCTTTTTATATTTTTGAATTAATTTTTTTGAAAGTGAGGCAATGCCATCATCGTTATCGACGTGATTGTATTTGTAGAAGTGGTGTTTGACTGTCGGAGAATGAACATGATGACGAAGATAAAAAAAAATTACTTTTCTAAATTCATCTTTTCGTGCATTAATACGTTATTCAATTATTTTAAGTTGGATTTATTTATACTTTTTGAAAATTTATGAGACTCAATTCCTTATTTTCGTTTGTTTTTTAACTTTTCTATTTATTATTTAAAGAGGACGACAAATCCATCATTCAATGGCCAAAATTGAGGGAAGCACGCATTTCGTTACATAATTAAAAGGTTGAGATATACGTTTAATAAAGATTTCAGGGTAAATTCGTTACATTTTGTAAAGGTTGAAAATGAAATTGTAAAAGGTTGAAATATGAAAAATACACAACCGTATAAAATATTAACATAATATGTTTGTTAATTATGTAGGTTATATATAATTGTATATCAATAAAACTGGATTGCGGTCAGTGTTCCTTGATCCACAAGCCAAGATTTAGCAATTTGAGTGTTATTAGTTTATCCTTTTGTCCAATGTTTGACCATCCGTGTATCGTGTTGCCATCCAAGAAATTAATTAATCAAACTTATAGTTGGAATTCTATATAAAGGCATATGGTCTAGATCAAAGGCATCCAAGAAAAATATAAGATGGGAGAGGAAAACAAAGTAATTGGACATGGTACGTGGTCAAGCACTTATTCAAAGAGAGTTGAATTGGCTCTCAAAATCAAAGGAATACCCTTTGACTATGTAGAAGAAAATTTAAGCAACAAGAGTGATTTGCTCCTCAAGCACAATCCTGTTTACAAGAAGATCCCTGTTCTTGTTCACCAAGGAAAACCTATAGCTGAATCACTCGTTATTCTTGAATACATTGATGAAACGTGGAATTATGAGCCTCGACTTTTGCCAGACGATCCTTATAAAAGCGCCACACTTCATTTCTGGGTTGGTTATGTCCAACAGGTAGGTGATGTTCTTATTTTGTGCTTCATTGACAATCGATTTTTTGTACGAGTCCTCATCCAACAATGAGAAGAGCCCTGGTTGTTAAGTATACAAATAAGGCATCCATACCTTAGTGAAAGGCCGCATACGCTAACATAATTTTGTCTTAAATAATGATATTTAGCACCAATCTAGATGTCAATAAACTCGTCATATTTATATATCTTTCAATAAATTGCAGAAAGTGCGAAGTTCAATATTACCTAGACTTGGCATTGAGCATCAGTAGTGCTACACAGCATTGATATTATTATCTGTGTATCTTACTGACATAACAAGGACTTAAACGCGAACTCTTGACAAAAATCGACAAACCTCTCCCTTACCAAGACTTGAGAATCAATATGAATTCTATGTGAAAGCAGGTATTAGAAAGCATGGGAAAACTCTTCAATTCAGACGGTGAAGCATCGCAGAAGATGGCCTTTGAAAATGTGTGTGAGAAACTGAGGGTTTTAGAAGAGGGAATAAAGAGTAGCTCCTTTGCAGAGAAAAAACTTAATTTCCATGGTCAGAATTTGGATCTCCTAGATATAATGATGGTTGCAACACTTGGTGCCTTCAGAGCACAAGAAGAGTTTCTTGGTGTTTAGATTATTGACCCTGAAAAATACCCTCTAATATTCAAGTGGGTCACAGATTTAACGGAACTGCCTGTTGTGAAAGAGATTACACCCCCACATGATGAGCTGGTTTCTTTTCTGCAGAAGTTCATACAAGCTGCCCTGAAATTTCCAACCAATTGAGAATGCTATGCTGTATTCAATAATGTGTCTGTTCGACTTATTTTATACTCATATGATGAATATAGGTATAAGAATAAATTATCATGTATAATGAAAAGCATTGGGCTGCTTCTGTTGAACTCTTAAAATATGTTTTGCTCAAGTTTTTAGACACTCAAATCCCTTTTTATTGACACATTCTGAGGAACTCACAAATATTATCCGCTTTAATACACTCATTTCTACTTATTTATAATTTAAATCATTTATAAACACCTCCCAGACATTAACTTATGCAAATACAATCGAGACAACCGGAGAAAGACCGATGCAAACCACACCCTGGATTTCATCTTAAAAAACAATTGCTTAAACAGTAAAAATGATGTTTTATAAATGATGGCTTAATAAAGAAATGAGCTCATTCAGAAGTAGAATGATAACAGTATAATGATTTAAAGTACATTACTAAATCATTTTCAATGTCAAAACTTGTTTAAGATGACAATAGAAAAAGTAAAAATTCTTAGCTCTTTGTTGCCAGCTTTTCTTTTGCCTTCTGAATCTTCAAAACTTTCTTCACAATCTTTTGCTCTTCGACTAGGAAAGCACGAATAATCCTGAGAACCAAAAAAGAAACACGAGAAATTTGGCCTCAGTTGAACAGAGGTAAAATCAAAAAATAGTAATTCATTGACTCCGTGTCTCAACGAGAAAGTCCTTGTGAACAGACCTTTCTCTCACAGCACCACTGGATAATACACCGCCATAGGCACGGTTCACGGTCCTCCTATTCCTAGATAATCTGGACCTCTTATATTCAGCAGGTCTCAACTGAGGAATCTGCAAAATAGCAATGGCATTTTCATTACAAGTCAACAGCACCCACAAAAACATCTACTGTAATTGCTAAATCACAGAAACAAAACAGTAAAAATTGGCTAACGTAGGTTGCTCCTATTTTTGGCAAAATTTAGCAGCTTGCATCCTTCAATCCATTGCACTTACTTTTCCTTCAATAAAAATTTATTTATGCTAAATCCTTCAAATGAAAAATCAATTCAACTCTAGTCTTCAAATTATAATTCTTTACCTTCAAATTCATTTACCATGTCCAGATCTATCATACATATATAAAAAAGTGGCAAATAGTCGAATTAAAAACAAACCCCCTCCAGTAAGCTTAATCAATATTTTCATGATTTTATATTATGAAATAATTTAGCAGCTTGCTCCTTTTTTTGGGAACATTTAGGAGCTTGTATCCATTTATCCATTGCCCCTACTTTTCCTTCGAATCAAACTTCATTTATGCTAAATCCTTCAAATAAAAAATCAACTTGACTGTAGTCTTCAAATTATAATTCTTTTCCTTCAAATTCATTTACCATGTCCAGATCTATCATACAATTATAAAAATGTAGCAAACAGTGGTATAAAAAACAAATCTCTTCCAGTAAGATTAATCTATATTGTCAAGATTTTATATTATGAAATAATTTCCCAAAAATATTTGCTCTACAAGTCAGGCGCTCAAGGAATAGCAGTAACTGAAGACTGAAATCATCAAAGAAAAGAACATCACCTAGGAATAATTCACCACAGAGTGCACAAAGACAAACATCAAACAAATGTACCCGTCAAAATAGAACTGTTCGGATCAGTTTTATTCCGAATGTTTTAACTTTAATTATCAAGAAATTAAACTTTCATTATGCATACACCATTGAATGAAAGATATCACCATCACAATCATTTACAAAAATAATAAATCGATGCCAACAAGAAGTTATCCAATATTTTTATTTTTCGGTATGTGGAAGGTGGAAATAATGGAATTGTATAAAAATTAAAACTTTCTGCCCTATCATTATCTGTCTAAATATTTGAGAGATTAATGAGCTAAATTGATAGCATAAAAATCCTTATAGTGCCATATTTACCTAAAAAGGTGATCCACAATCCAGATGATATGCATAGTTTATACTGGTTAAAAGATACAAATAAATACAAAAGCCGGCTCCGTATGTAAGATTTTAATATCTATAACAGGATAGATGGTAAGTCAAAGCTCCATAATTGTCACAAGAACTCTTTACTAGTGAGATATTTTCAGCTACTTAAGATCCCCTGATTAGTCACCGGTATACTAACATAAAATACACAGGACAAATGTTTTTTGTAAACGATAATTACAAGTTGACATTAATTCTTTGAACTGATTGCTTCACCATGAGTCTGCCCAAAACTTCAACCGTAGTTACTAGTCCAAAAGTTAGCTTGAATGTGCATATTCCATAACATGCTATAGTTGCCAGAATCAACATCTTATTTTCTTGGCTCTCCAAGTTTCCAACCCAAATCAATTCAAGATACCTCATCTCATATTTATTCCAGAAAGGAGGAAGGTTAAAAGAACCCTCTTTTTAGACTCCACTTCCAAATTCGAACCTGTAACGAATAACATTTCCAGCTAACGCAACTGAAACTACAGCAGAAATCAAAATCCACATATAACACGATCAAATGAACATAAAGCCTAAAGAGACTTTAGCATTCATTATAAGAACAGGCCACAACTCAAACTCGATAAACTAGTCCCTTAGCCAAATCATGTATCAAAAAAGTTAGGTAATCCAAAACCCTTTCAGCATTCACTTGCCACTAACGGGACTAACATTTTCATATACAAATATCAAGTACAAATTAACTGCATTACCCCTTGAATTCTCTTGCCAGTAACGGGACATTTGGGCCCGCTTGCCCTCTTCTTGGTGCTCTGATATACCAACTTCCCACCTGTATACACGTTTACAGATAAATAATTACATCAAATATCTACACACATTAGCAAAACAGATTAAAACGATACAAATCATATTCACATATAAATATAAATATAGTTGTATGTACGTATAAGAAAAATGGATACCGGGAGTTTTGACGATCCGGTGCTGGTTGGATTTTGTAGCATAGCTATGCCTTTTGCGATATGTGAGGCGCTGCACCATCGTCGGGACCTCTCTCTTCCCACCCGTCTCCTCTCTAGATGCTCGTTACTGCTAAAAGTTATGGTCTTTGTAGAATTAAAACCCTAACACCATGACCTAGATCCGACGGATGATGACGTTTTAAATAGACGGTTAGGCTTGAGCCACCGGTTTCTATTGAATTAGTTGGGCTGCTTCGGCTAGGTCTTTGCCCGAATTTGATTGGATGAACAAAAGACTTTGGGTAATTGATAAAAAGAACACTGCAGAAGGAGAATTAAGGATTGCAAAGCTATCTTTGTATATTTTCAATGTAACACTACATATTTATTTTCAAAAATTTTGAGGTAGACTTACATTGGATTGAACCCAAACACGTGATTTTTTTATTTTTATTTTTTTTTCAAATCTCTATCCCCGTATGAATATTGCACTATGTAGCAGTGCTATAGAGCCAATATAGGTAAATCAGTAAAAGTAATTGATACGATATTTTAAATGTGACTTATTTTCCTTCTTTTAAGGTAATATTCATTAATGTCACTTAAATCCATACTAAATATTAATAATGATAAATAGCATTATTATCCTGAAATGAAAAAGGAAAAGACATCAGAGTCATTCAAAGAGTTGGTGCAAAGTTAGTGCATTCCTCAAAGAAACTTATTTCTTCTTCTTTCGTAGAGCATTATTTCAACGTGCTTCTTTCTACTTTGTAATTACATGAAACCATAAAGCACAAGATAAGTTCCAACTACTTAGGTCATTCACTTTAATTTTTTTTCATCCTTCTTTATTCAAAACTTAAAGTTACATATTATGAAATCATATTATCTCAACGGGAAGAAAGCAAATGATGAATACTATCAATCCATTGGCTAATTAGGATGTCTAATAAAAATAAAAAGAAAAAGAAAAAAAAGAAACATATGTGGACCACTTTATTCTCATCACGGAGAAAAACTCCGATAGAATGATCCCTATATACAAATGTGGTAGGATTGTCCATTTAATTTACAACACCTCGACTTGTGTGGCTTGAGGTTCGAGTGTCGTGATTTGAATGAATAATTCTATCATGTATATAATAAGTGTATTTATACACTTGTATAATCTTTGTAAACTTAGTGATTTATTATTAAATTGAGTTGATATCTACATAATCTAGTGTAAATATATTAATTATATGAAAATCTCACTTGGATACAATTGACGTGAAGAAAGATGATTTTAAGCTTAATTAGAGTTAATTTATATATTCTTTATTTAATTTTCATAAATTTATTTTGTTTAATTTGTTTTGTTGTTATTATTATTTTTTTTAAAATTGTTTTAGAATTTCTTTTTTGTTCATGTTATAAATAATTTTTTGTTCGATTTAAAATTCTTTTTAATTCTTTTCATTTTATGACAAAACTAAATTTTTTATTTTAATTAAATAATATTTAATTATAAAGTTATTATAAAGTTTTTTTTACAATAACTTTATAAAACATTAATTTTTAATTTTAATTAAATCGAACGAAAATTTATTTATGATATAAAAAAAGAAATTTAAAACAATTTTTAAAAAAATATAATAAAAACAAAACAAATTAAACAAAAAAAAGTTACGAAAATCAAATAAAGAATATATAAATATTATTTAATTAAAATTAGAATTAAGTTTTATCATAAAGAGAAAACAATTAAAAAGAATTTTAAATCGAAAAAAATATTTATAATATAAAGAAAATAAATAAATAAATGAGGGAAAAAATTCTCGCTATGCATGGAGAAAATATTTCCATCCACGGACCATACGTGTGTCTCTCCATGTGGAGAGATTTCTCTCCGTGGATGGAGAAATTCTCTCCACCTGTGGAGATAATTTTTTTGTTTTTTTCTCATTTATTTTTCTTTTTTCTTTTAAATTTGTTTTGTTGATATTATAAATATTTTTTTTGGATTTAAAATTCTTTTTAATTCTTTTTTTTATGATAAAACTTAATTTTTTCAATTTTAATTAAATAATATTTATATATTATTTATTTAATTTTTGTAACTTTCTTTTATTTAATTTGTTTTGTTTTTATTATATTTTTTTGAAAATTATTTTAAAATTTCTTTTTTCTTCATATTATAAAAGTTTTTTGTTCGATTTAAAATTATTTTTAATTCTTTTCATTTTATGATAAAACGTAATTTTTTAATTTTAATTAAATAATATTTAATTTTAATTTAATTAAAAACCTTATAATAATATTTTTTATTTTCGCCTGCAATTTCTTTTATTCTTTAATTTGTTAAATCATTTAATTTTTTTTATTTGTGTTGATGTAAGATTATAGTTACAATTTGGTTCACTTAATTTTTTGAGACTATGCTTTATTCCATTATTTCTTACTCAATATTCTAATATTTAAATTTTTGCATGATGGAATACCATTTAGATGCGGAGTTGAGAATGATAATCCTTAAGTAACTATCCTGATTTTTTTTCCATTTTTGAAAAAAATAAATTCATCTCAAACATTAAAGTATGGAGTGAATATAACATACATTGATCAAGATTTAATTATTATTAATTCAATAATTAATATTATAGACAAAAAAATTGCAGGCAAAAATAAAAAGAAAAGCTATTATAAAGTTTTTTAGAATTAAATTGAAGTAATTAAAATTATAAATAAATATTATTTAATTAAATCGAAAAAATTATGTTTTGTTATGAAACGAAAAGAATTATAAATAATTTTAAATCGAACAAAAAATTATTTATAATATGAAGAAAAAAGAAATTTTAAAACAATTTTAAAAATATATAATAAAAACAAAACAAATTAAAGAAAAAGAAGTTACAAAAATTAAATAAATAATATATAAATATTATTTAATTAAAATTGAAAAAATTAAGTTTTATCATGAGGGGAAAAATTAAAAAGAATTTTAAATTGAAAAAAATATTTATAATATAAACAAAACAAATTAAAAAAAAATAAAGGATTTCTCCATGATTCTCTCCATCCACACACAATGGATGCACATAAGGAGATTTCTCTCCATGGATGGGGAAATTCTCTCCATCCACGAAAAGAATTTTTTTTTCTTATTTATTTTTTCTTTTTGTATTAATTTGTTTTGTTCATATTATAAATAAAAAATTTATTTAAATTTTTTTCTTTTTATGATAAAACATAAATATTTCATTTAAATAATATTTATATATTCTTTATTTAATTTTCGTAACTTTCTTTTATTTAATTTTTTTTGTTTTTATTATATTTTTGTGAAAATTGTTTTAAAATTTCTTTTTCTTCATATTATAAATAATTTTTTGTTCGATTTAAAATTCTTTTTAATTCTTTTCGTCTTATAATAAAACATAATTTCTAATTTTAATTAAATGATATTTATTTATGATTTTAATTATTTCAATTTAATTAAAAAATTATAATATATTTTTTTAATTTTCGCCTGCAATTTTTTCTTTAATTTGTTAAATCATTTAGTTTTTTTATTTTTGTTGGTGTAAAATGATAGTTACAATTTGGTTCACTTAATTTTTTGATAATATGCTTTATTGCATTATTTTTGACATTTGAATTTTTGTAAAATAGAGTACTGTTTAGATGCGGAGTTGAGAAGGATAATCCTTAAGATTAGGATTCTCGATTTTAGTCACTATCTTGATTTTTTTCATTTTTGGAAAAAAATCCATCTCAAACATTAATGTAAAGAATAAATATAACATACGTTGATCAACATTTAATTATTATTAATCAAATAAATAATATTTTTCTATAATTATATATAAGATAAATTCAATCATATATCATATTAATGGAATAAACGACGTCGTTTTGCCATTCAATATAAGGAAACGATATCGTTTTATACTGTAAATGCAGATAAAAAAGGGATAAAAAATGAAATGAAAATAAAAGAAAAAAATGTTATTATAAATTTTTTTTATTAAATTGAAATAATTAAAATTTAATATATACATGACACACACACGCACGCAAAAAGAAGAAGAAGAAAGAACCCAGTGAACTTTAAAGAGAAGAAGAGATGATGGGTGATTTGTGTGGAGAAATGGAAAAGTAAAGAGGTTGTAGCGTGTGAAAATGGAGAAAAAGTAAGGAGGGCTCTGCGTGAATTGACGAAAAGCAAAAATGTCAAAATCACGAAAACAATTGAAGACAAAGCAATGTTGTTTTTGTGCGCATGATGGAAAAAAATTGCTACAATGTGATAAAATGGGATAATTCACTATTCTAACTACGAACCTTCCCATTCCCTTTTTTATATAGTAGTGATATGATGCTTACATAACTATTACACTGTAATTATTAGACGTCAAAACTAACAAATTTGTCAAACTATTTTCAAAACTTAGGTGTTAATTCCAATTAATAATATACATAATATATAATTGATTGAAACTAATTATTGCCACGTCACCGCTATCAAATTAATAATATTCCAACTAATAATATTCCCATCCCATGAACCCTACCCAAGGACACCCACCTCATCCTCCCCCAACTATTCACTCCACGTGTAAAGAATTTCAAAAATTGAAAACCTTTTCTAGAGACTATACCCTATTCTGGAACCACCCTAACCCCATCCCAACCCATCCCACCCCACCAATCAGTACTTGTAAAAAATTTTCAGAATTTAAAAACATTTTCTGAAGATTACACCCACCGTCCCATTTCTTCCCATCCCAACCTATAAAAAATTTAAAACGTTTTCTATTACATAGCACACCACATAATCACTCGTCCAAACCACTTTAGAAATCTCCAGAAATTCAAAAGCATTTCCTCTATGTAACGTTCGAAATTCTGGCAACTCGATATGTTACCAAACATGAATTTCTTAACGTGTTAAAAAAAATAAATTTCAATACAATGAAATATTCAATAAAAGTTGAACAACATTTAATGAAAGAAAAATTTAATTTAATAAAAATGTTGAACATTTAGGAATCATATCTTTGACCAAATCATTATTTAAAAAAAAAAACCAATTTTAACGTTCAATAAAACTAGGAGTAATTAAAAATTAAGATGTTACCCACAATTGAATCTAAAAAAAAAAATATATATGATCCAATACTTTTGAATCTAAAA